GGCGGTCCAACCTTGTCCAGGATCCAGGGTATATCATACCTGTGTAGCTAGCCCGTCTGAAGTCCATGCTGCAGTGGTTTTGCTGCTGTTGGTATCCAAGATGGCTAGACGACAGCTAGCCGAGGTATGTACATGCTGTGGTCAGACTCAAATTGCGGTGTTGACATCTGCGTGAAATACTCGGGTTGAAATCAGAGAAGCTTAACATGGGAAGTTGGTGGTGTGGTGACATATTGGGAAGAAACCTGCACGTTTTCATAGGCAAAAATAAAACTATTAAGTGATTTACTCTGATTGGCCCAGTTACTGGCAAAACCCATCAACATCAGAGTGTGATGTCTTTTCAGACGCTCACTGTCCATATGTGAAAAGTGTGATTTGTGAGACAAGGTGGGTGAGGTACTCTCTTATTGGACCCATTTCTGCTGGCGAGAGAGACAAGCTTTCAAGCTACACAGAGCTCTTCTGCGGGGCCGGGAAAGGTCCTCCAAGCGTTACAGCTCAATACAACATGGAACAGACACTGACTGCATTGAGGCTCTTACCTCGGTCCTGAACGGTCAGGTCCCATTGACTTCCCCACCACTCTGTGAAGCCATTAGCAGCTGTGGGTGCTTGGCATTTCTGAAAATCAGGCTGCTTCTACTTAGCTGCCTAAATGTGGATGTCTAAATTTAGGTACCTAAATGCGAAAATGTTGCCCTCTGCCCAAGAGCGAGGGTGAGGTATAAGTGAAGGCCCTTCATTCCTTAGTAAGGTGAAAGGGGTAATCCCAACACAGTGACGGCTGTCTGGACTGTCTTCCTCCCTCCTATTAATCAAGACAAGAAACACTGATGCTGTTGCCATGGGCTGAGCTTCAGCAGAGCGTGCGGGATCGAAGTGACGTGGGGCTCGGGCTGCTCCTTCAGGCGTTCTCTCTCGCTTTCATCTTCATATGCCTCATTTGGAAGGAGAGCGAAGATATCCTGTGCCAGCCCTTGGGCAGCGACACACCTGATGAATCATGATTTGGATCAAGCTGTGTCTGGTGTTTTCCCTAAAAGCTGAGCCACATCTTGGGGGAGAAAATGCCTATGGGGACAGGTTGCTGCTGATGGGTTAAAACAATCATTGATCTATAAAATGCATTGCTGTCCGGGTACCAATGCATCTGCAACATCCACTCAGTGCAGCGAACCTCTAGAGTAACTCCCCACGTGGCTTCTGTCTTTCTATTAAGGGGTTTGCTTTTTTTAAATTTCTGGTAACACCCAACTGAGATGAGGTCCTTGTGGTGGGTGCTGTACACATGAGATAGTCCCTGCCCCCAGAGAATCTACACTCTTGAGAGGAGACAGGCCCAAGGTGGCAGAGACAAATTATCCTTGTGCTTAGGATAATGTGAAGTTCATGACCACCAGGTGCATAACTATGGAAATTCCATGTACAGAAATAGACCAATCAACCCCCTTGGTTGGACCCACAATGGCCAATTTTTCCATTTTTAGCATTAATAAATGGGAACAGCCTGGCTGGTGTGAAAAGTGACCCCTGCTGTTTGCTACCTGTATTCAGTGCCTGTAAGTCTCATCCTGCAACTTGCAGCTATAGAACAATTGTTCAAAGCGTAGCAACGCATGATGCAAAGTTAGCTGTCACGAATGGCTGCCTACATTGGCTCTGTCACGGCACATTGCCAGTCTCCCATCAGGCCAGGGCTTCCAGTGACCTTACCGAGAAGTGCTCAGCCTTGGTGCAAAAACTTCAAGCCACTGGACAGTGTCTACATAGAGACACTCCAGGCTGCCTTTAAAAACGGTGGCCGTGATCTGATTATTCTCTTGCAGTTGCCGGGGCTTGGAGCTCCATTGTGCTGTGTACCTCGCCAGCCAAGCCTTGCCCCAGACACGGTGCAGTTTAACAGCACGGAGGTGTGTATGGAACTGGCTTTGGGTTTTGCAGTAGCCCAGTGAGCAACTGACAGTCTAGAGTTGTAGCTGGGTTACCCGTCCCCATGGGATCTGAACATGCTTTGGGCACCCGGGATGCTCTACCAAGGAAGGGAGCAGAAAGCTCAGGATTTGTTTTCAAAAAACAAAACCGACATGAAGTGTGAACATTTACATTTAGGAAATGCACCAACCAAAACCCTCCCCTAATATACAACAGCCCCCAGAGTGGGTCTGTAATGGGCAGCATCGTTCTGAGCCCCGACAGCTCTGGCTGCATTCGGGTGCAATCACTGCCTCGTTCTATTCCTTGAATCCAGTTCTTACAAGCCCCTGGGAATTGGCAGCTGAGGAAATGACTAACAGTCTTTAAATAGGCCAATGACTTTCCTGTAACCATCCCGCTGGGGGCAGAAAAAGTAACTGCACCACAGAACCTGCTCTCCCCTCGTCCTTCCTGCAGGGTAACTGGGTGCTGAGCCTTGCGCTGCAGAATCAATGGCAGGGGCCTGATCTTCCCACCAAGTCCGATGCTTTTCTGTAACGAGGCCCCTTTCCTGTGTGGAGCGTGACTGTGCTGGAATCTGGCTTTGGGGGCTGGTACTCAGTGTGGGATAGTTTACCCCCTGCCAGCTGGGGCTGTTGGGATCTCTCCTTTATGCTAGGACGGTTTGGTTTGATATCGTTAACATCTCCCCACTTCGCACAGCTACTCTTCCTGTTCTAGACACCAATGTTCTAAGATGACAACGTGTCAGGACCACGTGAGCAAAGCTACTCGATGCACGGGTTTGTGCCAAGCCTCCCTTGGCTAGCAGGGGAGGGGCCTGGAAATTCAGCCCCTCAGCAGATGTTGGGGCTAGGAGGGTCCACTTGCTACTTTGGGGGTCCTGCTATGGGTAGTACAGCAGAGTCGCATCTGGATCCACGTTACACTGTCCTAAGGAGGCCTGAGCTAAATCTGAGTCCAACATCTTCACTCAAAGTAGCCCAGAGAGAGACTTCGCCAAACTTCAGCCATTCAGGCTGAAATGTCCCTGGCCAGGTGTCTTTCTCAGGCTGATTTTTTTTTTAAAGTTTCAGCTAAAACCGTTTCCAAGAACAAGTTTCTAAAATGAGACTAAGGAAAATGCCCAATGTGTTTCCATAACAAAAGAGTGTTTCATTGAGAAGTTCTAGCACTTCTATGCTTGGGAACAGGAACTTGTAATTGACCTTGTGGTTCGCCCTCGTGTCAGGGATGTGCCTTTTGCTCTCACCATGAAAATTAGACCAAGATCGAAGACTCCAAATAATCTTTCTCATGTGCTCATTAGAGACTTGTTCAGAGAATTTCTCTGTCAAACTAAAGATTCCACCTGTAGTGAGCAAGCTCCAGGGGCAACCTTAATTCTGCTACTTCCAAAATTCTGAGCACGTGACTTAGCAGCCTTGCTGTTCTCTTAAGGTAGTTTATTTGTGTCTCATCTGTAATTAAAGTGAGGAACTGCCACGGGAAGCCCACTAGCAGCCGGTATCGTGTGTGTCATGTCTGAAAGCTGAGCTACGTAAGCTACAGTGAACAATCTCCCCAGGACAACAGGCCTGGTGCCGCTTCATGGCATTGATCTCTAGAATGAATTCCATTTCCTGTGGGGGCCGTACACTGAAACATCGTCTCAGCTCCACTAGCTCACACAGGCCCAGGCAGGAATTCCTGCTGCTATGCCTGTCTGGATCAAGAGCTCCATGGGGTGAGCTTATGAGCTTGGTTCTCCAGCAGCAGCTGTGCAGCCGAGTGGCAGAAACCCCTTTGCAGGCAATAAAGGGGGCTCGTGTTCCCCTTTTCTCTAGTTCTTGCTTTTCCCTCTGTGAATTCAGAATTCTCTGGGGTTGTCTCTCTCCCTAGCAGAGGGAGGGTTAATGGGAAGGAAGTGCTTTCCAGGGAGAGTAGCATGCACTGTATTAATTCATGGAAGAAAAGCAGCAGATACGTGGGCGGCAAGAGAAATCCTGCCTGGGAAACCCTCTGCAGTTAGTGGAGTGAGAGGGGACGCTCTGTGATGCAGGGAAGACATCAGAACCATCCTCCCCTCTGCCTGTTTCTCCGCTCTAGGGCTTCTGCCTGGAGCTGTAGTGGCCCCAGAGAATGCCCCAGTCCCTCCATCAGGGCTGGGAGACCCTCCGTTTTGCACATTCACTTGCACCCTGAGCGAATGTCCTGGGCTGCTCCCTTGCCCCATTGACCCTTTATTGCTTCCTGGCTCTAGGCTGCACTTTATGCAACGTGGGGTCTGTTTGGGCCCCTGGGGCTGCGTGCGCTGCTCCGTTAGCTGAAGCCAGCACACTGCAAGACACAAGTCCTGTACCTGTATCCACGTCCCTGCTCGCAGGGGAGGATGTTCAGGTGGCTGTAAGTGCAGCTCAGTTGGAGCTGGGGTATTAAACACTCCAGCGAAGGCTCTTTTCTTCCCCATCAAGAGTCTCCTGAGTGCCTGCTGCCTTGTTCTTGTGCATCTCTTTGTTTC